TGAAATTTTCTATTAGTTCAGATTTAAAATATTATTTTCTAAAAGAATTAGTTACAAATTTCCTTACAGCATAGGAAAAGCTAGAAAAATATCCAGCCCTGAAAGCATGCAATAGCTTTATAATTATTTTGAACGTTAATTATGCTTGATAAATATACTAAACTTTTAAAAATCAATCTCAATTTCAATAATAAAAATATGTAGAAATTCTGATTTGGGAAATGAGGCGCTACAACCAGCTTTTTCTTGACAATTATACACGCTGCAATAGGCAACCAATGTTAAATTTCTGCAAGTCGTCCCTACTCCTCCGGATGTGATCAAGGTGACAGCCGGCCCCTCTGGAAGTAGGAGTGCGTGGGGCACAAATCATTGGTTTTTGTCGCTTATTTCGCAGTTTCTTCAAGCCGACAACGATAGAAAAGTCTTTTGATGCGGTTGTTCGCCCTTGACCAGGCTATCTACCAACTGATCCAGCACAAGGCACTATCACATGGTATCTGCAACGAAATGTTCGAGATGTGAATTTTTCAGCTTATGTGTTGTTCACTGATGAGGCTCTATTCAATAGGGATGGCTTATTCAGTCAGTAGGCGCACTTGTAGGCTCAAGAGAACCTCCATAGTGTGAGACATAACATCGCTTTCCATTAAATGAGTGGGATTGGTCAGCGACTGCTTAATCGGGCTGTACCTTTTCCATTCACCCGCAAATTTTCAGATCTTTCTGGTGCAGGTTCTTCCTGGCTTACTTGATGATGTTCCTGCAAGTGTGAGGCGCAATATAGGGTTCTAACGCGATGGGGTGCCTGCTCATTCTGGACTAGCTGTTCGAAGGCATTTGAACTGGTCATTCCTGCATCGAAGGATTGGTCATGGTGGACCAATTCTCTGGCCCCTATGCTCACCTGATTTTTTTTCTGGGGGAGGGAACCCTCAGAAATATCATGTATGCGCTGCTGCTACAAAGAACCAATGTGTTCGACCGTGTCCAGCAAGCTTAGCCTCTGATGGTGCAAACTTCGAACATTAGAGGTCTCTTCATCTCATATGACATTTCTACTCATAATGTCCAATAACTATTTAAAATTAATCACCTTCTTGTATCCTTTCTGATTTTCTACCTCTGCTACCACTTACCTCTATTTCTGGCCATATATTGCTATGCAATCTCAATTCTTATGATGTGCCTTACTTCCTCTCAAAGTTTGTTGCTAGATTTTTGAGACATTCTGTATATTTATTCAATACTTCACTTTATTTTGGAACATATCTTGAATCTTTCAACCTTGGGGGTCAGGTAAGTAGCCCCTGTTCTCCTTATTAACACCTATGTTAGAAATCGTTGAGGATACAGAGCGAAAATTTTATTGAAATCTGTTTAACAGCTCTTTAGCAAATCACGATTAAACATTAAATACATAAAAAGTGAAGTCAGTTGAAAAAAAAATATTGAGTGAATTCAGAATGTTAGGGGCATAACAAGTAATACTTATACTTACCAATAAAAATCACTTTCACTATTTACTACTGATAGGCTTTGGGAAGAATGCGTCCGAGTCAAATTCTATTTTTCAAATACGGTTAGAGGTAATACTTCCATGGTAACATAACCGTACTGGCTTCCTGATAAGCAAAGTTAGTCCTTTTTTTAAACTAGAAATTATAGTTTGAAATCAAGGATAAATTTCTGGCTCTTTTTAAATTTTTGATTGAGCACATTCTGGTTTTTATTAGGTCTGCTTCATTTTCCGGGAGTAGAAAGGATAGGGAATATATTAACTTTTTGGTTTACGCATGTAATTATTCTCATCGATACACTAGTTGCAGCAGGTGTACTCTTCTGAACCTGCTGAATAGGAATACATAGGTTTTTAGAAAGTGTCTCAATTCTCAAAATACTATAGCAGTTTATAGTCCACTTTTCACCCCTTAGATTGTTCTACCTTTCCAGATATTTTTTTAAAAGAAATCTCATTTCAAAAACTTAATAAGCTAAACTCTTAGGATTCAGTGAATTTAAAAATTTTTTAAACATACAATTTTAAGCACCAAGATTTAAAGCAGCTATGATTCTAAACTATGAATAACACACTGCTTGTTTAAGCATCAAAGAGGCAGTTAGAGAAAGCAAAATAATCGTTTGACTTAGCAAAAAGTAAGGCCACCAAGCATCATCTGAGTTTAGCATTGCTAAGTAGGATGCCCTTACTTGAAAATGAATGACTTTAAGAACGTAGACTAACTGTAGTCGGGCAATAACTGTATCGCTATCACAACCAGATGTGATACCAGATAAAGCAAGCATTGTTTTAAATTTTCTTCTTTTATACGGGGGTGGAAAAGGTTTCTTGAATTCTCTCTGCAGAGCTAGTGCATCTCAGTTTATATATAGAAATACTCAGAAGCCTGCCTATTCCTGTAATATTTCAATAAGCTTGTTAAATGCAGTTTAGTGCAACTCAAAATATAGGAATGTTCAGAAACCAGTCAATTCCTGTTGTCTTTGATTTTACTATTCATTTTCTAGACTCGAGCAGTCAAAATATATTGTTGTATAGGTTGTGTTAATTTTATTTTTTTTCACTCTAGATGAGGTAATTTTAAACAAAGCAGACATTTGCCTGTCATATAAGGCCAGCTCTGTTTCACCCTTCCTCAATGCATTCAGAGAACAAGCTCCCCTACATTTTAAAATGGCTTTATCCTCATAGTCGTTTTTGCCTCACTGTTGCCTTTGTTTGTTAAACAACTGAAACAATCCCTCATAAATTACCTGCAAAGGTCATGCCAAACCTTTGTTACAACTTTTAAAACTGTTAAAATTTATGCCAGCCTAATACACAAACCAAACAATCACAGTGAAGCAAACATAACTGACATTCAGTGAATAAGTTGCACATTCACCTTCTATAATTAATTACAGACAATTTGAAGCCTAAGAAGTAGCAGAGACAACAATGTGAATGGGCGAGATTCAAGTTCAAGAAGTAGAAATGATGTTATCTTATTAGATATTGCGATGTTCATATTACTTATGATTATACGTATTTTTATTGGAATGTGTATTTCTTTGAAAGAAATAATACTGTGAGAGGTACCTGTAGTTTAATCCATGATTACTTATCATGTGTTATGTTGTTACTGAACTTCGTACTTCACAAATTAACTTATTGGCATAATTTTCTCTTCTTGATTTTTAGAAGAGGATTTTTTTTATGATTTTTTTTATATTTGATAATGATTTGGATGATATTTTTCATACTTTTACAATTTATAGCTAAGTTAATACTGCTGCAGATGTTTCATTTATAAAATAAATTCAACGCTGCAGATGTTTCATTTATGAAATAAATTCAACAGATTCTTACAAAGTTACACTTACACAATTTAAGGATTCGATTTACCATATATTTCTATATATAGGGCAATAAATTTTAGAATATTTTCAAAGCTAAATATGGGGTCAGCTTACATATGAACCTACTAATCTCTCAAAAAATGTAGATACATTTCCATTAGCCAGATGGATATTGCCAAATATGCCACTTTTTTATTTTTAAGCATATGAGAAAAAATTAATTTAAAATACTGAGTTAATTTATTTTATGAAAATGAGCTTTTTTCCCCTTGAATTTATATATACTGCTGGTTTGTTGCATCATCGCAAAACAAAAAGAAAATACAATTAGCACAGACACCACAGATAGTATACAAGACAACAAAATAATTGGAGAATGTCCTAGTTTCAGATAACAGTTACCAGAGTGAAAATTATCTCGTCCTTTATTTTACAGGAAATTCATTGGAAAATTTCCACCACTTATAATTATTTGGCAACATGTTTGAATGTTATAGGATTTTTCTATTCATTTCTGTTTATATAGTACAAATTTTGAATTCTGGTTAAATTTTTTGGGGGAAAAAATAAAAAATAAATAAAAATAAATAAATAAATAAATAAAAAATCTGAAATGTTTCAGATTTTAAATTACGTCCAAAGGGGCGTTTTTTAACATTTTGTGTGTTACCTTTCTTTATTAAATATTATGTTCCTCGCACTTAAACCATAAGATCCAGTGCAACAGCAATATCGCAAAATAGTTTTAAAACGAGCATATCTTTAGAATTCCCGATACAGAGACTCACGCGCTGGAGATAAAAATGTTTTTTCTGCACAACGTTGCCATTGCTCGCTTTGAAATCCTTGAGTTTGTTAATCAAAAAATTCGTCAAAGTTTTAAAAAATAGGAAATCGATCATAAAACAAATTTCAAATTTGGTCTTCCACATGCTCATATTCGTTGGAGGATTACGTTATTCAAATTCGATGACTCTATGTACCGTTGTTTTATCACAATACGAGAAATATACATACATTTATGCAGATTTTTTCATTATTTAATTTCTTCAAATATAATGCAGGACTCTAACATTTTTGTGGCAACAGTTTGAAAAGTGAACCGACATTTATGAGTCCGATGCAAAATGCCCAAAACGAAACTAATAGTCCTTCGGGATTCAAATCCCTTTGGACTAATAAATTAAATAATAATAATAATAATAAAAAACATTCTCAGCTTATGCACAGATTGGATTATATTCATAAATATATGGTATGTAAAATTCAAATTAAGCAAACATTTACGGACTCATACACTTACATAACTCAGTAATGCCTACTGTATTTAAAAAAAAAAAAAAAAAGATATTTATGCATAATTTGAAGTGAAGAACCAAACTATGGGGAGAAAAATCTGCATGTCATCTCAGAAAGAGTTTAATTTTATGCCAAAATATGTATATTAGAGCAGTAATATATATAAATAAGTCATGCTTTTAAGACAGGATAAATGCAGTTTTAAATTTGTTGAATGACCAAACAGAACAGGAGATACAGAACCGTCATTTCTTTTTGACTCACTGTACATGTGTGATTTACATATAATTGTAGCACTTATAAACATGACTGAAAGTAAATAACTTTGTTTACAAAAAGACTGATAGACACAAATTTTTCTATTTATATATACAAATGTGAAAAACTGTTACATCTTTAATCAAACAACCATGGAAAGTATGTTCTCTATATTGTTCGTGCAAGAAAGTACAAATCAGCTAGAGCAACAACCGTTGATGTAACTATTCCCATCATGACTTGCTGTATGGAAAAGAAAAATGATAGATTAAAAATAAGGCATAATTGCATTGCATAACAATACTTTAGCACAAGTAAACAATAATACAGGTTTTGAGTTAAATATTATTAACTGTTAATATAAAATACAAGTGAATCCTCTTTTCAGCAGTCTACTTTTCAATAATCAATACTTTCAATTATCTGCAGTAATAACTAAGTATCATACATTTAATTGGCTCATTTTTTCATTTAATATGCTCCCATAATCTTTAAGCTTGAAAGGGGGGAATGCTTGGGAAGAAACTAAAGAAGCAGTTCTGAATTGTATTTTTAAGGAGTTTATTTAAGGAGCAAGACTTAGAGATTTTGAGAATGCATGAAAGAAAAATCATCAAATGTTACTGACCTTGCAAGGAAATTAAAGCTGAAATTCGGTTTGAAGATACTGAAGAATTCTTTGGGATGCAAAATGAAAACCTAACACCATGGATTTGATTGAAAATTATTACAAAATTGTAATAGAAAATCATTTAGAGACAAGATCTCTGCTTGATGCTGGATAATGATGGTTTCTAGTGCAATTGTATTTTGGGAAAGATATTTTTCAAAAGAACTTAAGTATACACAAGACAACAAAATAGTAAAATTTAATTTAATAAATTTTCCTACTTTCATATGTCTGATTATAATCTTTCCCACTATTTCCAACCCTTTTAAGATTCTTTAAGCATATTTTATCTTCCCCCAACTTTTTTAAATAGATCCTCGTTACTCAAATATATATTCACTGCCCATATATGGAAGAACCAAGATATCTATAATTTTATTATATTTAACATACATAATGTTCCATTTACAATCATACACATTTGCATACAATATCCATGGCCATATCATTAGTCATGCAATATGTGTTATGTAAAAATAGCACTTTTCATGACATTAAAAATGATGATCTCATATCCAGAAAATCCCCAATCCAGAATAGAAGTCCTGATGAGTCCAGATCTCAGACTTTGTACTGTATTAAAAATTTAAACTTTACGGCCCTCATCTATATTTGTTTTGAGCTGATATTGTATATTCATCTAATTTGCAAATATAGCTGAAGCTTTAACTATTCACGATACGCAATTTATCTGCTGAATTTCTCATCAATCCAAAAACTTTCTTCATTTGACTTCCCTAAATCTGATTTGATTATTTTCACATAAATACATACCTGGATTTTTCAACAATATAAGCTTCACTGGTGGAGTGACTGAGTCCAAGTAAAAAAACTACTACCTATTTTTCCCAAACATCTACCTTCTTTTTGGTTGGCTGTTATGATTAATTCAGTGCTGAGAGCAACATTTTGGTTGTCTGAGAGCAACATTTGGAAGTTGAATTTTGAACATAAGAATTAATTCTCTGCAATGAATATGCAGAATTCTAAATTTAATTAAGTTATTTACTAAATTTTGGAATAAAACATTGCGACTATCCAGTGTGACAAAACATTAACAATCACACCCATTTCCACGCTATTTGCAGTTATTACATCCTCAGAATATGACTGAAAAAATTTACATCTGCAAATCATACATAATTTTTATATACATAAAGAAAACCTATAAAATTTTAAAAGAGTTACAAAGAATTTATAAATGGTTTTAAGGATTATTTAAAAGAAAAAAAATATGTATTAAAACACTTTGATGCTAAAGCAAAGTTTAAAGCTTAAAGAAATTAAACATTTAGCAGTAGTAGCAATGAAAGCTCACTGAGATATGTTGTGCAGACATTGAAGACAATAAAAGATTTTGAACTTAACCAATTTATTAACAATATAATAAAGAATAAAAACACAAAAATAAATGTCAACAATATTAGAGTATTAGGAAAAATATAATATAATCATCATCATTCATCAAATATTTTTACCTGTACTCCAAAACACTGGCATTCTATACAAACAAAAACAAAAAATGAAAATGTCCTAAATAGTGACTATGCAGCCTAAAAATAAAACTGGCTACCCATTCAATAAGTCCATAATCAATGGTCAAGAAAACACCTGAAAAATTTAAATGTGAAAACATTTAAAACCGGCCTAACTCCGTTTGCACAAGGAATCGCCGTTCACGTATTTTTAATTCCGCCTTCATTGAAGAAACATGGTAGCCCCCGGAACCGAAGAACTTCAATCTGGAACCATCATCTCGCAAACCGGAATCAAGGCATTTTTCAACCGCTCACACACCAGCCGGGAAACCAGGAACTAGAAACGTTGAGCCAACTCCAACTCCAACTCCAACTTGCTTTATTTGCCACGATTAACCTGAGAGCGACGCGAGATACTTATAGCAGAAGTAGGAATGACGTCATCTCACGGCAACCAATCAGCTATCGGCACGAATCGACTTTTCAGATGACGTAAATCATGTTTCGTTTTTGCATCTCAATTAGGTTGAAACAGTCCGTTTTCAATGCAAACAGTGGCAGCAAGAAAAGAAGTAGAAGTAACTACTATATTATATTAAAATAAGGACTAAACTAAATAAACATTTCAAGGAGGAGAGATGATGCATTAAAAGGTTTAAAAATAAGCTATATTTTCCAACACACTTGTATTAAAACACTTGTAAACTCATTGTATTTGTAAGTAGAGTTGCGCATACATAATTTAGTTACAATGTAATTGATTAATAATTGAATTGAAATGTAATTGCAACTATAAGTCATTCAACTACAGTGTGATAATTACACTGTATTTGCAATTACAATTAATTCAATTACAATGTAATTGTATTATAAACTATGGTAATTTCCAGTTATGATTTTACCACCAATCCTCGAATTCTATATCACAGATTATGTTCTTACTGCATTAATATAATATTAACAAGACATAGTGCACAATAAAAATTAAGCTTTATTTAGGAACTTCGCGCATACTGCCCGACAGCCTGCCTGTTTCGCTCTGCTCGCTACTCGTAAGAAACTTCTCCTCTACGGTTGCCACACTTATCGGAGGGCGCAAGGCGCGCTCCTTATCGCCATCACCACAGAGTTTCCCCCCAGTTCCTTTAATGGCTATTCAAAGGAACGACATAGGTTATGAAATTATCTCAGAGTATCCGTGCTGTCGGGTATTTTTTACATGATTACAAAATTAGAATATAAAATTAGAAAAGATCAAAATGCAATTCAATATATAACAAGGTATTGACACATATAATAAACATGAAATAACAAGAAATATGTTAAGATATGAATTTTAAAAAAATGTTTTAAATTGTTATGTAAGAAGCAAGTTTCTTAGGGAAGTGAACATGTCTTCCCGATCTGGTGACAGTTTGTGTCTTAGAGAGTTCGTTTGCAGATTTATTCTGCTGAACTGTCTTTAAGTCTTTATTTGTTTTCAGTTCAGGCAAATTAGAGTCCGAAAGCAAATAGGCTGGTTTCACACGGTCTATAGACACAGTAGATTTCAGACCGTTAACATCAATTGTGAAAGTTTTGTCCGTTCTAGAAAGGACTTTATGCGGACCTGTATATGGTTGGCACAGAGGTGGCTTTACTCGATCGACACGTAAGTATACATGCGTACACGACGACTTTAAGGTAGCACTTACGTAACATTTTTCTTGGCAATGTGCAGATGTTGCTATTGGATTCAATTGTTGCATTCTATGCCTAAGATTCGTGATAAATTGTGTGTCATACGGAGATATCTTAGATGACGTTATCATATCACTAGGCAGCTTGAGAGTTGTGCCGTACACCAGTTCAGCACAAGATGACTGTAGATCTTCCTTTACGGCTGTCCGAATACCAAGCATAACAACTGGTAGTGTTTCAGTCCAGTTATTGGTCTCGTGAGCCTTGAGAGAAGATTTTAAATGTCGATGAAATCGTTCAACAATGCCGTTGGACATTGGATGATAGGCTGTTGTTGTGATTCTGTTCGTACCCAAAATGCGCGTGAATTCTGCAAAAAGTGCGGATCTCATTTGAGAACCTTGGTCTGTTGTTATGATCGATGGGCAGCCAAAACGAGATATCCAACAGTTGAAGATGGCTCTGCAAATGGTTTCCGTTTTCATATCCGGGATGGGAATGGCTTCAGGCCATCTGGAGAATCTATCTATTAGAGTCAAAAGGTACACGTTGCCTTCTGATGGAGGTAACGGTCCGACGATATCCATATGGATTTCTGAAAAACGTGCATCAGGAAGAGAGAATGTGCCCAGTGGTGCTTTAGTATGCCTAGTAATTTTCGATTTTTGGCAAGATTCACAGGATTTCACCCAATTTTTGATATGACGTTTCATATCGGGCCATACATAACGAGAACAAATAAGCTTCGTAGTAGCTGCAATTCCTGGATGTGACAGATTATGCAGATGATTAAAGATGAGTCTGCGAAAGGAATTCGGAACAAATGGACGAGGAATGTCTGTTGATATGTCACAAAGAATATTACCATCAGAATATTGGCACGGTTTAAATTCCAGTTTCAAAGATGATGTGTTGTTTTTGAGAAGGTCTTGTACCTCCGGATCATGCCGTTGAGCTTCCGAAAATTTTTTAAAATCCAAAAATGGAGATTTTGTTATGGAATCAATTTCGATTCTTGAAAGAGCGTCAGCAACGACGTTTTTTGAACCTTGCACATGCCTAATATCAGTAGAGTACTGAGAAATAAAATCTAAATGGCGCAATTGTCGAGGTGAACATTTATGAGGGTTCTGTTTAAAAGCGTATATTAACGGTTTTTGATCCGTATAAATTATAAAATTTCTGCCCTCTAACATGTGTCGGAATTTCTTAATTGCAGAATAAATAGAAAATAATTCCCTATCGTACGCGGACCATTTCTGTTGACTTTTACTGAGTTTCATAGAGAAAAATGCTATAGGTTCCCATGTTTGTTGAGACAACTGCATAAGTGTGCCGCCGATTGCGACGTCTGAGGCATCTACCCAGATGCTTAGCTGGGCTCCGGGAATAGGGTGTCTCAAAAGGGTAGCCTG